TTGCTGGTGACATGGCTGGTGTGGATGGGTGCATTGTGATAAAGAGAAAAGACCTAGAGACCCAATTACATAACACCTATTGTTCCAGACTTATGGGACACCCTGTATACATATAAAAAATTTGGTTGCAAACTTCTTTGAATATATGTACTTTTATAAAAAGTTTTACCAATTAATTGAAAATAAAATAGCTTGGCAATTTAAGAACAAAATGCATTGTTATGACTACTACTGACATTTCATCACTTGAAACCTGAAAGAGCATGGTTTTGCACTTTGCATTGCCGAACCAGTTGGTGAAGGTATTGAAATCGGGTTAAGTTGCATTATTGCCACTCTCCGAAGAGACAGTGCTCTTGGTGTGCTTGGAACACCTCGCAAGTCACATTCCAGATCGCTTTGTAAACATCAAACCTCGTCAGTGTTTTTTGTGTTGTAAATGTCAGCAGTAGTTGTATCGCATATACTAGACTTAGGGATCAAAAAAGACGATTGGCGATGACATAAAATGGTGCATATATACTGAAGAAGTTTACTTTAATTAGTAGGAAATTGTTTATGCTTGTTATTTTTATTAAAAAAAAAAAAAGTTTTTATTTTGCTACTGTTGCAGTGTGTCGCACGCCTCCCAAGTCGGATCCCTTTCCGGCACCGCTTGACGGTATGCATGCTAGCTTCTTTTCATTTTTATTTTTTTCCATTTTTATTTATTTTAAATGAATGCTCAAAGGTTTGCCTGAAGTCTAAAGTAACACTTATGAGTGATACTCGATTGTTGTGTGATGAAACAGAAATGCAAAGATAATAGAAAATTGTGTGTTCACGCACACCGAATATCACTTATATTGCATGATTTAACCAACCAAACATGCTATATAATGCACAATACAGCATTGTAAGACTTATAAAACAAAGATTTTGTTCTTAAATTTACTTTTTATTTATAGTGAATATTTATGTTAAAGTATCTTAAAAACTAGATGTAAATGTTTTTTCTTTATCAAAACTTGTATTTTAATTTCATTAGACCCACTAAAAAATGCAAATTCTAAAGCGAAAACATTCAGAAGATTAGAATGCAGCCAGTCTCCGTTCCTTCCTCCAGTGGAAATAGTGACAACATCCTCCGAGAGAAAGACGTTTCCCACGCCGTCCACCGTCTCCGCGCTTGGCATCACTTACACCAGACCGGCGGATCCGTTCCGGAGGCCCAGTCTCCCTTCATCTTCTAGCACATCGCTACTTAAGCCCTTGGAGAAGAGCGTGATGCTGCGGTACAATTCCTGCACAGAGACCTCGGCTGTCTCAGTGGTGAGGCCGGTGCCGATCATACCGGCCGAGAAGGATGTACATCCTAAACAAGCCATAGTCTTCCCAGAATTACAGCAGAGGACAGAAATCAACTACTTAGATTTTGTACCAGACCAACGAGAACATCCTTTTGGTTTAGATTTAGAAGAGTTTTTACCCGTAAGTAACTCTGAAACAAGCAGGAAACTCATAAATGACTGCATACTCTAAAGTTTGTATTATCTCTCTCCAGAGACACCTGCAAGACACACTGAGGCTCGGAGGATCCAATCAGCCGGAGATGTCCGAGGCAGAAGCCATGTCTTGCATAATCCGCGGTCACCAGCCCATGATAGCAGTCATGTCCCATCGACATAAAAATCTCCAGATAATCTTAGCGCAGTGGAACATTAAAGATATGAAAGTAATTTAAGAAATATAAGATTTAATACTTATCGATGATTTTAAAATGCTAAATCGTACACTAATTTTTCTAGATAGCATTGGAGTCCGCAGTCCAAATGAATAACCAGTCCATAATTGTAGATATATTGAATGTCATAACGCTTAGGCCGTAAGTATTTATTTTTTAAATTATGTAACTTTTGCAATCGACGTACATGCGACATAAGCCTACATAATTAAAATTGGTGCCGTTATTGCACATTTCTGTTTGACAAATACATAATTTAATGCAAGTTTACACCAGACCAGTGCAGGATGATTGCAAAACGTGTACGAATGTGCGACGATTTCAAACTATGCTTACATTTAGAAACTAGGATTGGACGGTGGATAACTTGCCGACATATTTGCCAACAAGTTGCAAGCTCGCATCCCACATCGTATCAATCTTTTCTATGTTTCGTACCCATCGGTAGCTAAATGAATAAAATCTATAAATGCTGGTAGTTGTTCATTGGTTTGCACCTCATCATAAGTAGGCATGTGAATAAAATCTGGAAAACTAACACCTAAATAGGAGCCATTTTCTCATAAAGTCTTCCCTGGAGAGTTTGTAAGTTTAAACAATGTTTAAACAAATGTAACAATCTCTTTCTTCTTCACGTTAAGTACTTCTAAAAGTCTAAGTATTTAATTGTACAAGCTGAAAGAAGAACAAATTTAAGAAGCGTGGATATTTTTAATACATAATTAGAGTTTATTTTTCTAATTAAGCACTTTTTTTGATGTGTAGATGAAGTAATAATGCTAAAAATGTAACTATTTCCCACTAAAAAGATGTGACTCACGCAAATCACACCACGCTGCCCACTTTGGAAGTGGGCAGTACGGCATGAGATGACTTTCCTCCCTCATATTTATGACGTTTTCCAAATACAATAAAGGTGGAGTGTATTAAAAATTTGATTCGTTGGGTTACGTTTGGTGAAAATTAGAAAATTTCTTAACAAATAGTGGGAGTAGTGATTACAAATTTCTTCGTTGTAAAAGTAGTAACCATTTACGTAGTTTTTTTCATAGGTTCGTAACATCTGTAGCAGGGTGGAGAAAGAATTAGACAATTGAATCTCGCCTTTCTGGCATTAATCCAGCGACACTTGTCTGAAATGTGTAGTGTGGAATGTGGATCTGTATCCGTTCTTATACTTTTTGTACCTTTGTCTTTCAATATACTGAAAGGTTTCTAATTACTTGTCAAATCTTTCAGTTTGTCTCCTTTCTGAAAAAGTTCTCTATGGTATATTTGTTAATTTTGGCCACACTATGATGTGCAGTAGCAAGGATGAATCTTTGTTAAAGTGCAAAGGGTATTGAACTTATGAACCATCTTCAGTTGCTGGACATTAAGTTATCTGGAGCATCACTATTATAACAGGCAGATGCTTCATTTCAACACTTTTTAAATTGTAAACACAAGTTTTCTGAATTTATTATTATTACAGATATTGGAAGATTGGTTTATTGCAACATTTCCAGTTTTAATTTTGTCCATCAGTGTCCTAGTGGTGGGAAAAATGAAATATTAAACACTGGTAGTTGGTCATGGGTTCTTGCCTCATCAATGGGCTGGCATCGTGGTGTTTTCCAGGTTTTCTTCAAGTTAGTAGCACCTAAGTATGAATCACTTTCCCCTCAAGTCTTTCTGGAAGTCATTCCCCTTGGCAGATCGCCCACGTGTCACATTGCCGTAAACAAACAAACCAGTCCAGTTTTAATTTTCGAAATTTAATGGCTTATTGTAACTTTAAATGCGCAATTTTGGTTTACTTAACTTATAAAGAATCAAAGCGTCAAACTAAAACTTGTAAATTGAATCAATCTTTTAAAATAGACTTGTTAGGAAATAAATAAGTCGTTATTGACTCATTCTTTCACCTTGATTTTTTTTAAAACTTGTGTCTAGACACATTTGACTCATGTCTATTAATATAATTCAGTACAACTGATAACTTTGATACTTTAGCAATACATTTTTTTATGTAACTTGCTATTTATTGAGTTTTTTTTTAATCAGTATTTGAGCAATTTGCATGCAGAGATGAAGGGAGAATATGTTTTGTTGAAGTGTTCAGTTTATTACAAGTAACTATGTGAGATAGTTATATGCTTTGCGTTTCTTTTGAAAATTTCCTCGTTCTCCTCACTTGTACAGGATTTAAATGGTACTGATTAACTGGGATGGTAATTTTTTCCATTTACCCTGATAATTGACAGTCTACTCAATGTTTTTCAACCTTTTTCTCATTGTTGACCGATAAAATTATCCATAATTCTACGTAGCCCAGTAATTAATTGTCACCATGAATTATTGGTATATATGCTTATCTAGAGTTAATCTAGGTGTTATATTTAAGAAAAATACAAAGGGAATGTGTACAAATGTGCTCTCATTGCATTTCACACTAAAAGTACTTTAATTTTTCAGTTGTAATAACAATATTATAAAAATACACTAAGTTATTGTTGGAATGCTAATCTTTTTAATGTTGCCATCACAATCTACGGAATACTAGTTTCACAATTTAAACTGTTCGGACTGAAATTTAATGTAATTCTATAGCCGTGTGTAAAGTTCTTAAAGCTAATTTGATCGCAGGCACTTGTGGGATATTGAATGGCATAGGAACTTTGAAATCTTTGGTGTATAATTACCTCGTTGCACTTGGAAAAGTTAATAGGTACTGTTTTCTGCACAGGCACAAAACAGATGGAAGTGTGCCATTAATTGCTTTGTCAATTGGATTTACTAACAATAAAACAAATTTTCTGAATCCAGACATGTTAAAACAATGGTTGAATCCAGGCTGGCTGCCCAAACCAATTAACAAGTGTAGTAGGTTTGAATGTGTTTGGTGAAATTTTGAAAAGCTGTTATGCTACAAGTATATCATCAATTGTTGTGGGATAACTGTTGAACTTTATTTCTCTCAATTTAAATTTGTATGCTTATTTAATTCAAGTGATATCCTGCTTTAGTCAACCGAAAGCATATTTTGCTAGATCATTTATGAAAGGTAAGATGCGAGAACTGAATGCAATCAAACCTTTCCCACATTCTACCTATGGTCCTGAACCATTGTATTACTATTCATTCCGGTCAGTGGTGTAGTTTTTATCTGGACAATACTTTCAAATTCTCTCATCACAAGTTGAGATTGCAACAAGAGAATTTTTCTTCAAAAAATAGTGGTAACAAGGAATACAAGAGTTGAAAGTAAATCTCTATACTACAGTAAAGATAACACCGCTACTGGTAACATCAAAAGTCTGTTATCTCTATTATAGTATTTAAGATTTGCTTTCAACAATTTTTCGAGACAAGAAGCTTTTTCTTAATACAAGAGTTAACTGAAAGAGAGCTATAGATCATAAATCACAATAGACTGTACAGTATTTTGAAGAAGAGTTAGTTTTTTATGTTTTACAATAATAAATTACTTCTAATTAAATGATGGGTTATATGTGAGATATCCTTTTTATGTCTAACATAAAGCATGAACTGAAAATTATAGTTTTAATAATGTTTTAAAATATGAAACGTCATAGTAGGACTTTATTGGAAATTTAACATCTTTTCTAACTTCTCGACCCGGAAATTCTTATGCCCTCAGTCCAGATCCATAATTCCGTTTTTAGTCGGAGCCGAATAGTTGCCTATTCGGCTCTATATACTAACAAGTGAAATAACGAATACACAATATTAGTCACGAGTAAGTCATCGGAACTGCTCTATATTTGGCAAATACTAAGCGTAGAATCAGCTTTACTCGTTTTAAAAAAATTAAATACTTGTCCGATTAATGTTTATGATCTGTCGGGTCTCATCATCCGATCTTGACTAGAATGACTAAATAGATTTAATATAAATATTATTTATGTAATTATTCTTTTGTTTTCAAGTTAAAGTATGTAGAACAATAAAGTAGAAATCTGAAACCCTAATCGAATATTTTTGACTTTTATGATCTGATGAGCCATAATTATAAAGAAAACCTTTACAGGATCTTTGTTTTTTCATAAATTTCAGATATTCTCATAGATAATTGTTCTGATCTATCGTTAGATTTTTAAAATAGATCTGATATAAGCCTACTTCTCTACTAAGATTTCCAGATTTTGATTTCAACAATGTAAATATTCACTTATTTACATGAAAAATTATTTAATTATGGCTTTACAAGATTAATTTAATGTTTCTTAAATTGCCACATCTTGAATTTATTAGTTCTATCATTAAAATATTTTAGTCTAATCCTTAGAAAGATTGTTTTCTTATGTATTAACATAAATATTATCTTGAGAAAAGTAATTAGGTTTCAAAGAAAGAATTTTAAGATTTAAAATTATATTCAGAATGATACTGAGAAGAGTGTATTATGCTGAAACGTGAGAAACACATAATACGGTGTGATGCAAAATGTTTTTTTCATTTTAAGTCTGTTCTCTATCTTCTTGCGATTATAGTTTAAAAATGAGCTTTACATTATAAATATTCATACTCTCTAATTCAATTAATGTATTATATTAGAGATAAACAAGGAACTCAACTGTTACAATTTGATTTACTGTTTATCGTAGAAAACAAATTAGTTACAGCAAAGTTATAAAATTATCTTCAGTACTTACTGTTAGATATAGTGATGGAAATGTTAGCTGCCCACCAGTGGCCGAGCGGACGAAACCACTGAATACTGCTAGTTGGTTGTATGTTCGTAGCTTGCAAACAGGCTGGTCACATGTTTTCCGGGATTTATTTACATTTTTAACACTTTTATGGGAAATGACCCCTATTTAAGTCCACCCAGAAGGTTTCCCCTTGGCAGACATTTCTGGGATATGCTATAGGAGAAACTGCAATACCATGTTTAATAAAACAAACCTTTTCCACAGCACAGTGACTTAGTGACTTCTCGGACATCTTGTACATATGATAGACTTACGTTGATAGTGTCTCCATACTGACTGATACTTTTTATAGATCTGGCTTACCTATAAACAGAGAAATTAAGATTGGTTTGTATAGAATATATAGCATGCAATAAATCAATTAATTAGTTTTTAAATGCAATAATGAAAGGAAGTTTATCTTCCTGAAAGATAAAGGAAATAAATGTGTTACCACCAAGATATGACATCGGTTGTGATACATTTTTATTTTACTTTCTGCTTCAGAAAATCTGGGACCACCCCTTTATCTCTGCATGCAAGACAAACCTGTAACCCTTCAGGTGCTTCTTCAATTCACCAAACACATGAAAATTGCATGGTGAAAGGTTTGAATGTTAGCGTGAAACCCTGCAACTACTCTACACAACACTTAAGAATTAGTACAGTGCTTACATGATCCTCTTGCATGATAATATGACACTGCACCCTGCCAGTATGCCTTGTAACAAGGTTGAGAACTTCAAATGGAAATCTCTGTTGCACCTATCCTAGAGTCGGAACCTTTTGCTCGAACTTTCATGTGTTTGGTGAATTGAAGTATCTGAAGGCTTGCAGAAGATGGTCAGACTTCCTGAAGCAGAAAACCAAACTTCTGTAAGCATGGAATCATCATACTATGTTTAAATACGTATAAGTCTTTAACAAAGTTCGGCCCATCCTTGTTACAACACTGGCAAACACTATTGAGTTAGAACTGTTAAAGCCGATATGAGGACATTGCAACTTCTGTCTGGAATTTCAGTAATGGCGATGAAATTGTGTGTTACATACTCCAAATTTGTTTTTCTCTTGGTACTCATTTTCCATGCGCCGACATTTCTCCTATCATTTTGGCATAGATACTTTGCCTGCACAATAGCTGTCTTCCGGCTGATGTCAGAACACAAGTAGAGGAGATCAACACTGTTAGAAAATTTAGGATCATCCAAGATACAGGATGTCACCGTGCGATGATCACGTGTTTGGTCCTTTGAATGAAGTTTTGGGAGATGGGAAATTTATCCACAGTGACTTTGGCACAGTGAATCTTCCAATGTTGGAGAGTTTATTGTGTAGTGGCTCCACCATCACCTAAAACTTTATACTGCAGGTACGGCATCATTTCAAAAACAATGGGAGAAGTGTAAGCGCATGGAGTATGAATGCCTAGAGAAACATAAATGGGACTATGCAATACGCTCGGGTCTGTTTCCATTACTAAAATTCTGGACAGAAGTTTGCACATTTTAGTGATTCCAATCGAAAATTGCTTCTGACTCCACACCTAATTAGTGTTGTAAGAAGAATAGGGTAAGTGGTGCAGTTGCGCAGCCATATTACAATGCAAAACACTAAACTTTCAAGATTCTGGAAGGCTCAAACTCCTGTGTAATGTAAAAAACATTACACAGTACTTTTGAGCCTTCCAGAGGGGATCAAGTTGGTCATTCTCCACACCAGTTCAAGCAGTTGTGTTCCTAGAAAGGGGATTGTATTATTGTTTGATCAGGTGTTTTGTATACTAAAATTAATTTTAATGTTGTTAAGTACATTTCTACCTTAATCAAGAGGTATTTTTATAAATTTTTGAACTTTTCTTCCTATATATAGATTGCTATTGTGTAATTTGTACCACATTAAACAGGCTTAATGGTAATTTTNGGTAATTTTCGAGCTGTGATAGGCGAGATTTTATTTTATAATAGTTTAATAACACTTAAAAAAAGTATTCTAACGTGCATTTTAATATTAAAAAATAAAAAGTATGCCAGACCAAAAATAGTTACATAATCTGCCACCGGAGGGCGCCACGAAAAGCCTAGTGAAATAAGTTGTAGGTTATTTACTTTTAGTAGCGATAGATGGCGGCGCGTGTCGAAAGGATATAAATAGGCAGGAGAAACTTGGCACGAGTTGCATACGGAAGTGCAAGCTGCCGCAGCGCATTAAACTTGTTTAACCCCCCACACCAAAAATAGGCGGAATTATTTTAAAAATACTCCTCTCCATAAGGAAAGGCGAGCATAAATATGGTAAAAGAAATCCCCCGATTCGTGGATTTAAGACAGACATATTGTGACGTTTCGTCATCGTGGTGTTCGTCGAATGGAAAGTTTCTATTCGAAGAATCGTGATGCAATAAGACACCAGATTTACTCTCATCTTCCAATAGAATTTGCTCTTTGATAATGGCATTTTAAATGACTAATATTCGTCTTTCTGTACGCTGCGTGGAAGTGTACTTTCCGGGTATTGCGAGAAATTCGAGTTTCTATGAATTTCTGGAGCGAGAAAAATGAAAATTTTCGAGAGAATTAATTAAATATAGAATTTTGTGACCTTTACGATTAGCAAAGAGCAAATTCCTTTTTGTTTTTTAAGTGTAAAGGGGGAAGAAGTCTTGGTTTTTCTAGTGTCGAATTGTTCTACAATTCCTTTTCCTCTGTTTTTTTTTTTTTTTTCAGTAAAAGTCAATTTTAAATAAAGAATTATTGGCTTGTCGGGTGTAAAATTTGTACATAAAGCTCTCACCTTGAACTTTTGAAAAGAAGTCACTTTTTTGGGGGGTGAGCAATCCTTGAAAATAGAAGATTGTAACACTGCTAGACTACCACGGACCTGAAAAAGAAAAACATGCTTTAAATTTCATTGTTCTTGGCCATTAGAAATACAATCTACTTCGTAAAAATATATAGATTCTACCAAAGAAATGAGATTGATAGAATCTGTGGGGTCCGAACCCATTCCTTCGATAACGTGCCAACTGATTGATGGTTGAATTAATGGGATGTGCGCTGTTAATGATGAATTTGGCACAGGAAAACGGGTGTGAATCGCGCTAGGACCGAACCCACGACAGTTTGAGTTGTGTAGTTTACACTTCTAAAGGATTAATAATCAACTTAAATGTGGACTCCAAATTAGGGTGAAAAAATATAGCCTACAAAGAAATATATGACTGATTAGAAGCTGTGGGGTCCGAACCCACTCCATTAACACGAATTAATTAATGGGTTGTTTGTTGGTGACAATGAATCTTGGCCCTTTAAAATGTAAACAGCATTCGTGTTTTAGAAGAAATGGGTGTGAATCGCGCTAGGAACGAACCCACGACAGTTTGAGTTTGCATTTCGTATTCAAATTCAAGCTAGATGGCACAGAATGGAGTTATCGATTGGTATTTTTATACATCACTCG